TTTGCAGCCCGAAGGCTGAAAATATACATTGGACACAAATGACTTATTACATATATTGGTGGTTTAACAAAAGCCTTCATTAGAGAAAGGTGAAGGAACATACAGTGAACATACAGATTAATGTTTACACACGTAGATCATGTAAGCTGAGGTGTTGAACAGCAGACACATAGTGTAGTAACTCCCTCACAGATGGCGTTATGAGGGGCATCACGTGGAGTACTAGTTCCCTCACAGGTGGTGTTATGAGGGGCCTGATGTAGTTACCTCACAGATGGTGTATGAGGGGCCTGATGGTGTAGTAATTCCCTCACAGATGGTGTATGAGGGGCGTGATGTGGTGTAGTAATTCCCTTACAGATGGTGTTATGAGGGGCATCACATGGCGTAGTAATTCCCTCACAGATGGTGTTATGAGGGGCATCACATGGTGTAGTAATTCCCTCACAGATGGTGTTATGAGGAACTTCACATGATGCTGTAGCAAAACATTCACTACGTGGTGTCGTAGCATCACGGGGACACCACGTGGTCGACTTCACTCACTCAAGTGGGTGAGGTGTGGTCCCAGGCCTCTCTATCGTGGAGTCTCAGGGGAATTATCACTGGGTACCTGGGACCTCACTGTGTGAAGGTTAGCTTGGGTAAGACTCAACTGCCGAGTTGTTTTTCACTGACTTAAGCACTGTTCACCACTATTCAACACTGGTTCCATTCCTTTCCCAAATGAAATAGTAACTTCTGGCAAGAACTTGTTGATATTCCGGTGGGGAGGAGGGTTCAGGGGAGGGAGTTGGTATGGGCCAACATAACATTTGACGTGGCTGCTCCTGAGCAGCGTCTGACCCGGGGGCTAGGCTGGTGAGTCGGAGACGTACAGTTTACTCTAGATTTAACGGAATTCGATATAATTACCTCTTGATTTAACGGAAGGATTTTTCTGTTATTTTTCACTCGATTTAGTGAACTAGTTCACTAAATTGAGATTAATTTTGTTAATAAACTCATACATATGGAGACACCTCAGACACATGATATGTACAATTAAAGACAAAAGTCATGTCGCGGTTTTGTCCAAAGATTAAATATAACTCATGAAACATTATGAAACCCCTACCACAAGGCAGAGCGCACCAGAAGTTTAGCCCTTCGGCATATGTTTTCACCAAATTTCATGACACGGCTTTTGTCTTTCATTGTACATAGAAACATTATTCATGGCTTACCTTAAACTAGAGGGTTTGGTGTTTGTTTAAAAATTTTTCTATAATTTCCAACTTTTTTCCAATTGATAGCTGCAGTAGTTATTTGACAGATATGTAGACCGAGAGGTAGTAGTGAATAATACAAGCGGTAGTGGCAGGGTAGAGACTGAGTGGATGTAAACAAACCCCACATGCCAAGCCCCCCAGGCCCCGATGTGGGCCAGTGACCTGTGCCCGGGTGGGCTAATCCTTGTAAAAAAGAAAAAAAAGAAAAAAAAGCGGCGCATATGGTGTGGAATTTAACTTAGAAATAAAGAAAATATAATATAAAACTATAGAATAAGAAATACGAAGAGCATGGATTTGTATTCGGTGTAGGAGGTGATCGTAAGTATGGAAGCAGTGGGCAATTTGTCAATAGTGTATCTGGTGACTTGGCTGGTCAGGCCTGTTTCACTTTAAATGCACACCACACAACCAACTCTACTGTAAGTTTAATTTTTATTCTTTGCCATTAATTGTCAAGTTAATTTCAGCAGAAAATAATTAGAAAAAACAATGAAAGCATAAAAAACTAAAATTATACAAGATAGTGCACACACTTCATTGCTACTCAGTTGGGATGTGCTACCTCTGCTGATTGATCCTTAGCAGCTGTTGCTAAGAGTAAGTCGGCAGAGGCACACAACCCAAACCCTTTCCCCTGCTCAGTACATGTAGCAACTGAGGCCGAGAGAGGCGTGGGTGGAAGTATCTCCCCCAGCCAAATGCTTCAGCACTCATTGCATCATTCTCTTTTTTTCCTAAGCTAAGAGCGTAAAGTTAAATGCGCATAGGATGTGACACGACTGTACTGGGTGGGAGGTAAATGGAACATATGGTATACGAGTGGTAGGTTGGAGGTGAATCTTGCAAGCTGTCGCCTGCAACGGGGAATTGATGGATAATGGGCTATAGGATACACCACACTTTTCCGAGACAAGGATGGCTGTGCCCCCATGATGCGTACGTTCTGGATTTTTTTGAGAGTAAAAAAGCCGAATATCCTCTGGGAGGGGGATGATCATAGGCACCTAACATTGTTTCCTGGAGACAAATGCATTTAGGGGACAATTTGCTCAGGAGCAACTGGAACTCCTCCCAGTTGGCTTGTAAGCCTTGACAATTCCTGCGGATGATGGTAGCCATGATTCACCAGTAATAGGAGAATATTCTTGTGAATAAGTTATGTGCAATTATAAAAATTACTATACTATACCTAATTTGATGGATATGCCAAAAAATTTGGAGGATATATGAGTTACTTTATGAATCTCTTTCATTGTCATTGAATTGGTATAATTGTTTGGTTATACTCATGAAGTATCATCAGTCTATACTCTTTATAACACTAAAATCATAATTAATTTCCATTAAAAGTGTTTGCCGTATAGTAGACCCTCGCCAACCAAATCGCCGGATTCCGTGTATCCACGGTTTTCACTCTGAACAATGTACCATTTCACCAACCACGGCATTTAGTTTTATGTGTCCATGGATTAACGGTTTACTGTAATGTAATACAGCTCCTCCCCGACTTACGACCTACTCGACCTACAACCACCCGGACATACGACCGCCTCAGTCGTACCCAAAATTTTTCAAATTACGTATTTTCGAGTCCCGATGTTAGTGATTGCGCTGTGTACTATGTATTATTTAAGCATTTTCGACTTACGACCATTTCGACTTACGACCTGGATTTGGGTCCCTAACCCTGTCATAAGTCGGGGAGGAGCTGTATTGCCTTGACTGTCCCACAGTCAGGGACCTCTTACCACTTGATGAGTCACTAACCACCATATGTCACCACCTACTTATTCGTAATAATTTAGATTGAATTCTTGTACACTACCCACGTTTTGGTGGGAACTAACTCCCACTGTCCATAAACCATATCAATATTGTCACCATATCACACATCATAGCGTGTCCTGTGAGACATGAATACCAATGTATTAGTGTCTGACCGTATAGTCTTGTGACTTGGCTTGTTGTCCCCTGGGGAGTAATAAATTACTTAAGTAATAAATAATAAGCCCAACATGACTAAACAGATGCTCACAAGCAGCAGATGCAGGTAGTGGGGTGTTAAGCTTCAGAGATAAGTCACATAATGTCGGGAAAGACCTCAGTAGCCCCATTCCATCCCCTGGGCATTCCAAGTAGCTATGAAGCTCCTTCATTTGAGGAGGTAATGAATGAATTTTGCCTCAATAGTGACTGAGACTGACCGTGAACTGTCCCTCTAATTGGGGTGTGGTTGTGGTGACGTCACTTTTGGAATTCTAATTGATGAATGGCTGAATTTTTCGCACCATGTAAAATCTGGTGGGTGCTGGGGGAAGGGGGTGCAGTGGTACATAGTTATTAAGCAGAGTTTTAAATACACTCAGTCTCTTACTTATGTACAGATATGGGCTTTATATGTAAGATGGAATTATGTAAAGCATTTTAGTATCACAGCCTCTTTGATATTCATTTTAGGTACTGGTGTATATGCAAAGAGCAACTGACGTCTAATGGGAAGACCAAGCCCCTGAAGGAAAGGTGGGGGAGAAGAAAGGGGATTCGATAGGGGAAGGGGGATAAGAGGGTAGGCTAAGTGAGGTGGGTGGTCAAGGTGTTAATGGATACAAGAAGATCAAAGGGAAAGTCTGCTGTCATGGCCACTGCCATATGACCTGACCTGACTTGACTTGGTTTGACATGACATCACCTCACCTCACGAGACCTCTAAGTATGTGACCGCATGGTGTCTCCCCACACCCACACCGTACCCTTCACAGCTCCACCCACACAACTCTTTTACTATGGTTAATAATTAATTAATTAAAAAATATATAATTAGTTTGCTACAGACATTAAAACACTTTTGTTTTTGGTCATGTACTGTAACGAGTAAATTTTTTTTTTTTTTTCAATTGTATTCGAGTAAAAGTATTAGAAAACCACACTTAAGTAAAAGTAAAGGTACTAACAAATTTGAGTACTTTTTAAAAAGTAAATACCCACAAATATTACTTGAGTACAGTATGTACTCAATAGCTTGGCTTGGTAGGGGGAGAGTTAGGGGGTGTAGCTACAGGGACAGTCTAACTTGGCAACATCCCAAGTCCAAGTCCACGCACACATATACACACCCTTGCTCTTCATTTTTCTTATTTTATTGCAACATAGGGGATTATGCCTGAATATCAAGGTGGCAGTCAGTCAGCTGAGGTGCAAGGTGCATTCCGGACAGCAGTTTGCACTTCCTTCCTTATTAGAATTATAGGTGTGTAGGGAGAAGTGGAATATCATTAGTCCCCAGCCACCATTGCTAAGGGTCTAGTGGCCCTTGATTTTATGGCTTGGTGCATGCACTTAGCACTGTCTAGTTTTGGACTCGGAAAATGGAACCTCAGGATCAGTTCTCTATTTTGGGAAGTGGAAGCCATTTGTGTGGAAAACAGAAGAGTGATTAGTACCATAACAGGTTACACATGCACATTAACTTGTGCAAAGGGAATACACATGAAGCATATCAGTTGATATGAAAGCAGTCTTTGCTTATCATTTAAGTTGGAGATGCATGTTTTGAAGCTTTTTTTCAGGTAAAGTTAAAACATGTAAACATGAGAAAAGTTTTGGATGAGAGAAAAAGGTAGAATAGTTTTTAACAAGCTAAGATACACTTGTCATTATTTTCACTTTTAGAGTAACTACATGGATAAAATTATACTAAATCAAATATTTATTCTTTTTCTTTTTCAGTGGTAACTATGAAAGCTTCATTAACACTAAAAATGAACGGCAGAAAAACCAACAAAGAGAATATGAAGCTCAGGTGCAGTTCCGAGCTCACGTTCAAGAATTTATAGACAAGTTCCGTTATAATGCTAAACGTGCATCTTTAGTTCAGTCCAAGATCAAGATGCTGGAAAAGCTGTAAGTAAATATTCAATGTTTTCTTAATATAGGGCTTAGTATATCCTATTATTCTTGAGCAATATGACCATCTGATTGTTGATATTAAACAGCTTCTAATTTTGGGATAACGTTTTACATTTATCTTCAGTTTTTTTCTTATAACTAACATGTTCTTAACTAATAATTTGAATATTTATAGAAGTGGTAATTCTTATTATTATTACAGATTTTTTGAGTGACATGATTTAAGAGGGCGAGTCAGCTTTTCTTGAGAAAATTGCCTCATCATATTTTAATATGACAGCAATGCAGGACAGTGGTCCCTCGGTTAACGAGCACAATTCGTTCTAGAAGGTTGCTCGTTAACCGAAACCATTGTTTCAATGGGTTTTTGGGTAATTGGTTCCAGCTCACCGAAAATTACCTAAATTCAACAAAAAAGGTAGTAAAGTACACTTACTTTGAGGTGTGTATGTAGAAGGCTCCTGGATGATGATGATGGGAATTAGAATGGGGGTGGAGGAGAAGGGAGAAGAGAAGGCATTGGGTTGGAAGAGAAGTCACCCCATGGTGCCATTTCACCCAAAAAACTTTAGTTCTCTTGGTGTAATTCAAGATTATTTTCTTTAAATCAACACTGCACTGCATTATATATTGTCAGTATGTAAAATAAATTTCAAATTGACCAATAATTTGCTTGGAAACACAGAAAAAAAGCATTCAGTTGAAGAGAGTCTGATGTTACCTCCTCTGAAAAGACACAGAGACTGACGCCTGTATGGTATGTTGACAGACTGTATGGCGCGCAAAAAACTAGCTTCCTATACTTCAATTATGTTCAATAATTGTAAAATGATTAAAATATTTAATATAAAACTTTTAAAATTATTGAATAGTATAAACTTCTTGATATTTACTAAAATAGTAAGGAATTTAAGCCCTAGAACCGATTACTGTATTGGCGGACTAATACTACAGCTGGTGGACCACCAAATGCAAGCGAAAACATGGGCGGACTAATACTACAGCTGGTGGACCACCAAATGCAAGCGAAAACATGTTGAGGTCGGCTCGTAAAAAACTCGTTAATCGAGGGATTGCTCGTTAACCGAAGTTAAGAATCTTATGGAAGGTAACTTGTTAACCGAAATCTCGTTAACCGAGGGATCACTGTACTGTGTGCTGCCAAACTGTTACCCTTCATGTCATAACTACATCTCAGTGTGTACCTCAGGGTGTCATTTTTTACACTAATTGTGTTCCTGTTGCATATATGGCAGGTCTGCAGTCAACTGTCATGTGGTATGTCTAGATTGAATGGGTTAAGGGTTAAGGTGTAAGAGTCGCTCAAGAGAGGCCAAAGACTCTTTACCCTTAATGACATTCACATGTCTCCTCAATCAGAATATGGGGTCTCAAGGAAATAAATCTTCACCACTTTTGTGACAAAACCAGGTGTTTCAGTCCATTGCTCATCCAATCTAGAAACTTCCCCGGGGCCGCAGTGGCGAGGGAGATAAGGGGACAGTGTTGTTTTGACGGAACGCTTGTGGTCACTACGCACTTAGCGGCCATCTTCTGCTTTCCTTTGTGTCTGGGATGGCCAGTAATGCATATATTTACTAATTATAATACTTATTTCCTATATATAATTAATTTAGAATTTATTTTATTTGCATTATTTTTCATAAAAAGTGCTCAGCGACACACATACAGTCTGTCGCCAGGTTGAGGGATGACTCTCCATGGCAACAGGCTAATGCACACTAACCACACTGAACCCACCCACGTTACCCTGCATGTGGCGTGACCATCAAATAGTCATGCTGGAACCTGATAACCTGAGCTGGGCATTCAAACAATGGCACAAAAAAAGGCGCACGTTCTGGAACGTCAACCAGGGCACCCTAGATGGATGGTCCGGAACGTCAACCGGGCCATAGGGGTTAAACGCAGGATAGGTACAATACCAGGGAAAGTAATATATTGCACTATAGTTTGTTGTGAAGTATACTATAGGTATGATGGCAGTCAAACAGTTGTTTTGTTATATAAATTAAAGTTTCTCAAACTACAGTAAACCCTCGAAAGTCAGAACAATTTTGGGGAAAGGGGGGGGGTCCGGACTTGCCGATTGGGGTGCCACTGTGTACTAAGCAGCAACTCATTAGCCCCACCACTGACACCCCAACTGCCTGCCCACACACCCCCAACGCCGCCCACACACACCCCAACGCCCACACACCCCAACGCCCCACACACCCCCAACGCTGCCCACACACCCCCAATACCACCCACACACCCCCAACACCACCCACACACCCGAATTTGGTGATTCACGGCCATTTTGAGAACCTAACCCTGTGAATTTGCGGGCCCCCTGTACTTACAATACTTACACTACTTATAAGACTTACACTCAGTTTTGTAGGTAGATATCAACTGTTCAATATTATCTGGCAGTGCTACAGGCACTTTTCACAATCTTCCTCACCACCTCCATCATCACCTCTACCCTCATAACCACCACTACCTCTATTATCACCACCTAAATCATAATTTCAATGATGCAGAGATGAATTTGGCTTTAGCGTCTCCCTCCCTCCCATCCATGCACTGCATGGCGCACTCATTCATCAAATGACTGTTATTCATGATAAAATAATTTTTAGTATTTTTTTATTAATTAGTAAAGATTCATAACTGTACTGTAATAGTAATAATCTGTGTTTATTAACACCTGAACTCTTCACATGTCACAGGTAATGCATCTCCGTATATGCAATTGTATAATGATTGTTCATTAAAATATAATTTATTTTTTATAAAATATATTACCTTATTTATTATTAACCCAACGGTGGTCACGGTACCAGACCCCTCATGCTCACCCCTTGGTCACAAAAAAATCTAATTTTCAAAACCACCCTAGATAGTTCCCAAATCGCCCACAAAACAAGGGGAAAATACTGTAGTGAAAAGAAAATCTTGAAGTAAATTTAAAGGTTCTGCAAGATGACGTATCACCCAGATGGGTCTGTCCATATATACTGTACAGTATATACAGTGGGGTATGCTATAACGAACGGATCCTACTACGAATATTCCTATAACGAACGGTTTTACCTATAAAATTGAGAATGCTATAACGAACGCAACTCCTACAACGAACGCGGATGAATACCGGACTATTTCGCCTGGCGCATGAATATTGTTGTACCGCGACCCACAACAAGAGCGTCAGGCGCCATCTTTGTCTCATTGTGTAGTCAGTGCACCACTGTTATTGTTGAAATTTCGTCTTTTGATGTGGAAATTCGCGTTATTTGTATAACTATTTTGTTATACAAGTATACAATTGTAACAATGAGTCGTCCAAAGCGAGTGAGAAAGCTAATAACCCTTGAAACTAAGAAAGAAATTATAAAGAAACGTGAGAATGGAAGAAGCATTGCGAAACTTAGTGATGAATATGGGATGGCTAAATCGACTATATGTACGATTTTGAAGAATAAAGAGGAGTTAAAAACTGTGCAAGTGGCTAAGGGAATCTTTAGACTTAGCAAAGCAAGGTGTAATGTGATTGAAGAGATGGAAAATTTACTCTTAGTGTGGATAAAGGAGAAAGAAATGGCAGGTGGTAACATTAGTGAAGCTATAATTTGTGAGAAGGCTAAACAATTGTTTGAGGACCTTAAAGCCAAGACTCCCAGTGGAAGTGATAGTGATGTGCCAGTGTTTAGGGGTACCTGCATGCTGAATAACACTAAGGTAAGATAAAGTACCGTATTTTTTACATTTTCCACAGAATTTTTTCAGTGTTAAGCGGTTGTATTTGGGGGCCTGGAACGGATTAATCCTATAACGAACGAATGCTATAACGAACGAGGTTCTGGAACCAATTACTTTCGTTATAGCATACCCCACTGTACTCAAGTGATATCCCCGTTAGCTGGAATAATTGGTGCAGAGCACTACCGGGGATGAAAGATTCCGGGTAATGACGACTTTCTCAAACCCAATAAAATTCTTTATCCTCGGAATCTTTTCCGGCTACTGGGAAAAGTTTCCGAGTATCTAAACTAGACATCTTGTTCAGACAGACACTCGCCCAATTACCCAAAACGTTTCTGGGTGCTGGGGATGTTTTCCTTGAGTCTAAACTACTGGAGTCTGTAAATGCAGTTCTAATTAAGTTTGAAACTCCATTTCTTTACTATAATAATCCAGAATAGTTTATCTAAAGGTTTGGTTAAATAAATGTATTTAAAAATTAAAAATTTATATGATATCAGCATAAATGAAACTGTGTTACAGTAAAGACTGGTGTTTTCCACTCCTATGGAGCTGTGGGGGATTAGTGGGTCTCATGTAACTAACCTAACCTGACACAATGTCAGGTGGAGGTAGGGTGAGGTCTGCCCTGGCAACTGTACCGACACTCACAGCTGGTGGTGCGTCGTTTCCATTGTTTACTGGCAGTTACTGGTAAATATTTTTCAACCTAACGAAACTATTACCCGTTTAGAGGTCGACCCCCAATTTTTTGCCAAAAAATTTGGTCTTAAAAACTTGAACTACACACAGGTATATACGATAGTAAACAACAAGGCTCTAAGAGGTGATACCATCATACAGTCAGCGTACGCTGATGACCTTACAGGTGCAGGAAAAGTGGAGGACATCAAAAGTGGTGGGACCTGGTAACATCGCAAGGCCCACAAATTGGGTACCACCTAAACGCCAGCAAGTCCTTCCTCATTGTGAAGCCAGAACATTATGAACGGGCATGGAGGTATTTGGCGGAAGTGAGGTCAAAATAACAAAGGAAGGCCAAAGACACCTAGGCGCAGTAATTGGCACAACTGACTTCAAGACCGAATACATAACGGGAAAGGTGAATGAGTGGGTTAGGGAAAGCCAAGCTCTGTCGGAGATTGCTAACACAGAGCCACATGCGGCTTTTGCGGCATTCACCCATGGAGTCAAGCATCGCTGGAACTACCTGATGCACACTATCCCTGATATTGGTCCCCTCCTCCACCCTCTGGAAGAAGCTATCAGCATCAATTTCATTCCCAAATTAGTGAAACACCTTCACTTAACCCCAGCAGAAAGATCACTCCTTGCACTACCACCGATACTGGGAGGTATGGGATTGACCAATCCAGAGGAGATTGCTGCCACCGAACATCAAAACTCAGTTACGCTCACCGCAGCCCTTACGGACCAAATAATAGCTCTGAACGCAACAGGGGATGTGGATTCCAGCGAAGTAAACAAGATTCGAAGGTCCATTACGACAGAACGACAGCACAGCCAAAGGGATAAGTTGCAGCAACTGTTATTGCAAGTACCAGAGAATTTGAAAACAAAAGTAGTTATAGCGCAGGAGGTGGGCGCCTCGAACTGGTGAACTACGTTACCGATAAGGGCAAATGGTTTCAGTCTCAATAAACAAGAATTTACAGATGCCAATGCTCTAAGGTACGGTAGGCCAGTGGAAGGTTTGCCCTCCCAATGCGTGTGTGGCTCTCCCTATGACGCCGATCACGCCATGGTGTGCAAGAAAGGTGGCTTCTTATGCATGAGGCGTGACAAAGTAAGGGATCTCACAGCAAATATGTTGAAGGAAATCTGCCGTGATGTTAGGGTACAACCGACCTTCCTTCCATTGGACGGTGAGATTTTCCAATATAGGACTTCAAACACATCCAACGAAGCCCATGTTGACGTCAGTGCTTGAGGATTCTGGACGCAGGGACAGCGAGCCTTCTTCGACATCAGGATCTTTGATCCCATGGCCGCATGTCACCGTAACTTAGCTCTCGATGCTGCACACAGGAGGAACGAGAACGACAACATAAGGGCATATGGGGAGAAAATTCAGAACGTTGATCAGGGCAGCTTCACTCCTCTGGTGTTCACAACCTCTGGTGGGATGGGACCAAGTGCAAGAAGTTTCTGCGCCAGACTCGCGGAGGTGATCTCCGAACAGAAGCAGCAGCTCAGAAGTTATGTTACAGCCTGGATGAGATGTCGACTGTCCTTCTCTCTCCTTCAGTCGGCTTTGCTCTGCCTCAGGGGAACGAGAGCTTCGGCTCCAAAGCCAACAATGGTCGCAGATATTGACTATGAGGCTGCAGTCACTGAATGCCGCATTGATCTGCGGCTCAACTAATTCAACACAGCTAGGATAGCTATTCATTAATTAGGATACAGTGGTCCCCTGATTTACGTGGTCAATTGAACCTGCGGAGTAGTGCGTAAAACGAGAAACGCGTAAATGGCATAGCAGAACATATGGGATTAATTGAAATAGAGACTGGCCGGACTCCCAAACTCTACTTTTTCCAACACAATACCTACGTTGTAGTAAAAATAACATCTTAATTTTATGATGGTACGCACACACAGTTAAGAGAAATACAGTCGCCAGGTTAATGTCTATTCAAATAATGGACTCAACTCCCCCACCCATCCCCCTTTTCCCATGCTCGCTGGCTCCTCCCTCTCTGAGAAATGTTTAGGTGAAAACAGTAGGCTTACATTTTTAGTAATAAATAATACCTCAGACTAAAGTTAGGATAATATAATAATAATTGACATTGCTGGATTCCTTGCAAGACAAGGAATATTTTGAATATAAACGTCATATATTTTGCACAAAAAGATAAAATATTTGCTCTTTCTAATAAAATTCTTACATTAGATCTAAAATTTGTATGTCTAATGCAAATTTTATGATGTTTATATTTCAAATAATCACAATCTTATAAGAATTCCAGTAATGTAAATTATATTCTGGCCGGGTAATTTGTATGAATTTTATGAGCTAAAACAAATATATTCAGTAAATAAACAAATTATACTTCACCCAGACACTATCTGTCAATCAAAATACCCCTCCTCCGCTCCCCCCCTCTTCACACGCTCGCTGGGTCCCTCCCTACCCCCCACCTTCCCTTCCTACCAGAGAAATGTTTGGGGATAAACAGTATGCTTACATGTTAAGTAATAAATAATACCTCAGACTAAAGTTAGGATAATATAATTGACATTGCTGGATTCCTTGAAGACCAGGAATATTTTGAATATTAATGTCATATATTTTGCACAAATGATAAAATTTTGGCTCTTTGTAATCAAAATTCTTACATTACAATACATGCAACTTCGTAGATAATTTCAGCTCCCTATAGCTGAAGACATGGGTACAGAGTCTGCCAAAGGCTTGAGATGCACTTCTTATCAGATGTTGAATCTCTTCATTGATGTCTGAGGTGGTGGGCAGGTGGGAGCCAAGGTACTGGAAGTGGGTAAAATTAGAGAGAGTAGTACTGTTAAGCTGAATGGATGGTGGACATGTGGGTGAACCACCGGCAGGTTGAAAGAGAATCTGAGCCTTATGTGCATTCACTTCAAGGCTGAAGTATGCATATCCATCTGTGTAGGTGTTCAGTGTGAGCGACAAGGGTGAGGTCGTCTGAATACTGAAGTTCACTGATGGAAGCGATCGATACCTTTATTCCTGCCTTTACCGGTAGTCATCTAATGTTGAAAAGTCCTTTCATAAGGTACTGGACATCCACCCTGCCGGCTAAATTAGCACTGGCTACGAATAAGGAAGGCAGCCAAGAAAATGGAAAAGAGAATTGGTGCCAGTATACACCCTTGTTTTACACCCATTTGGAAGGGGAAGAACGCGGACCTGGGTGCCATTGTGTAGGACACTGCTGTTCATGCCATCGTGGAGTTGCCTAACAATTTCAATGCATTTTGGTGGGCAGCCAAAATAACTAAGGGTCTGCCAGAGAGCTTCTCTGTTGACCGAATTGAAGGCCTTAGTAAGGTTAATAAAGGCCATGTACAAGTCAATATACTGTTTTCTGCATTTTTCCTGTGTCTGGCGGGCAGCAAAGATCATATCAGTGGTGCCACATGATGGTCTAATGCCACTTTTAGATTATAGGAGGAAGTTTTCCGCCTCAGGAAGAAGTGTGTTTAGGATTCGGGCGATAATCTTGCCAGCTATGGACAGCAGCGAGATCCCACGGTAGTTGCCACAGTCTGACCGGTCTCCCTTGTTCTTATAAATATTGATGATGGAGGCATCCTCGAGATCTTGGGGGACTTCCTCCCCAGTTCCCATATATACTCCAGGAGAGAATGGAGGCAGCTGGTAAGCAGAGGTCCTACTGCTTTATACACCTGAGATGAGATTCCATCAGGCCCTGTGGCTTTTGTTATTTTTCATCTGCTTGATTGCAGTAGCTACCTCATCCAGGGATAGAGGATAGCTGAGATTTTTTTATTGCTGGATGATATTATGAGTGATGTTATAATTTAATAATATTAATCAAATTTGTATTTGGATTACATGTATTTTGTTGAAGTTTTTATTATAGTGCACTACATTTAATTTTTTAATTTTGTTGCAGACCGGAGCTCAAACCCATTGAGAAAGAAGTAGGAGTGACGCTGAAGTTCCCAGATGTAGAGAAGCTTAACACACCAATTTTACAACTTGACGAGGTCCAATTTGAGTATACCAAATCTGTGACAATATTCTCAGGAGTTAATCTTTCAGTAGCCATGGATTCTAGAATATGTATTGTAAGTACTGTAACTGGTGTTTTTGATTTCAAGTATTATTCTGAACATCATTCTGTATTAAATGAGGTAAAAATTGGTGAACGAAGGGGAAATGGCAGAAGAAAATAATTTAATTTGGGGTGAGTTGCAGTACTAAAATCTTGAGTACTGTATTCTACCGTATTTTATGGCATATAAGACACACTTTTTTGTCTAAAAAATGGCAAAAAAAATTGGCCTTTTGTCCTATTTGTGAAATTGCAGTCTCCCATAGGCTAAATTCCCCCAGCTGCTGTCTCCAATCGGCTAAATTCTACCTAACCCAACTTCAGGGTTAAAAATATGTTATTGCTTACTTAAATGCATTATTACTATTTTTAATTAATTAAAAAGTAAAGATTGTAAATATAATAGCTGGATTTATAACTACAGTAATACCCCGCTTTACGCGTTTTTTTTTTTTTTTTACGCGTTTCTACATTTACGCGGTACCCTGTCAGAACCGGAATTCCCACTTTACATGGTGCATCTACTCATATACGCGGGTGAAGTATAACTTTTTTTATTTAGCTCATAAATTTCATACAAATTACCCGGCCAGAATATAATTTACATTGCTGGAATTCTTACAATTTGATGATCATTTTGAATAAAAACATCATAGATTTTGCATTAGACATACAAATTTTAGATCTAATGTAAGTATTTTGTTTCCTCAGAGCAAATATGTTATCTTTTGTGCAAAATATATGACGTGTATATTCAAAATATTCCTGGTCTTGCAAGGAATCCCGCAATATCAATTATTTTAACCTAACATTAGTTTGAGGTATTATTTATTACTTTACCTTAAAATCTAGTGTTTTCACCCAAACATTTCTCAGAGAGGGAGGAGCCAGGGAGTGGGAGAAGAGGGGGGCGGGGGGGAGTTGAGTCCATTATTTGAATGGACATTAACCTGGCGACTGTATTTCTCTTAAATATTAATTGTGTGTGCGTTCCATCATAAAATTAAGATATTATTTTTACTAGAACATAGGTATTGTGTCGGAAAAAGTGGAGTTTGGGAGTCGGCCCTGTCTCTATTTCAATTAATCCCATATGTTCTGTCATTCCATTTACGCGTTTCTCGTTTTACACGGACCTCTGTGGGTTCAATTGACCGCATAAACAAGGGTATTACTGTACAGTACTGTATTGTACTGTACTGATTCTGATAACCCGAGACGATTAACGTCCATACAGCATGCACCCAACTCTTCAGAGGTAGCTAAGCAGTAATCATTTCTAAACTCTTACAAGCATTACTTCAGGGTATCTATTAATGTCACACTTGCAATATTTTTTAAATCTCAAATACCTGATACAAATGAAGATTAACAGGTAACTTTCTTTTCATCTTTTCACATTTGCGTATGTTAACATCACTGACGGCATTGCAGCCAAGTTTGATTCGTCACTGTAACCATCAGGCTACTGGGCCAAGGTGTGAGGTGTTATGGTTGTTTTTCAATTCATATTTTGGGATAGATATGAATAACTTTTTTATTTACTTTTTCTCAATTACATGTACACACCATCCTACTACATATTTTGAAAAAAAAGTAAATGAAATAATCGCTATAAGGGAAAACACATACGTATAGGGAATATTCATTTGTTTGCCATACAAGTTAGCTGGCTCAGTGAGGGAGCAGGAGGAGGGCGCAGACTGTGTGGGGTAGTGTTGCTAGGGAGTCGGCGGAGGTAGTGTCACTGCTGGTCGGTTTTGCTATGGCAAAACAGGGAGCATATGCAAATGGGTTTTATTTACTGGTTTGGCAATACAGTATTTTTTGCTTTTAGTTATTTATTTTTATTTATTCCTCACATTCACTAGTACTGTATTTTTTTATTTATTTTTTATTTTTTAAACGGGGAATAACCCACCCGGTCACAGGTCATCAACCCACAACAGGGCCTAGAGGGTGAGAAAATAAGTGTAAAAAGAAATTAAAAATAGAAAAGAAAAAGATCATATTAATCTACACCACGAAGGTGCTGGAAAATCAGCTTTTTCAAGTGAGACACATTGTAAGAGTATGGAGACACAGAAGAAGGCAGAGCATTCCACAGTTTGGCTGTGTGAGGAAAGAAGGATGTACTATAACAGGTTATTCTAGTGTGACCGACATCCACAAAGAAACTGTGGGCACCGCGGGCAAGACGAGTGTTACGAGCCCACGGCCTTGCCGGCGGTACACAGGTTGCCAAATCCACCGAACATTGCCCATTAAAGTACCTGTAAAAGAGAGTGAGTAAAGCAACATTGCAGTGAAGAGAAAGGGAAGAAAGATTATCATCTAAAGTTGGAGAGTTAATAAAACGAAATGCCTTTAATTCCACCCTATCTAACAGTGGGACAGAAGAAGAGCCACCCCAGATATGAGAGCAGTACAGTACTCCAAGTTAGGACGAATGAATCCTTTATAAACTTGAAGCAACTGCTCAGGAGTAAAGTAGCTACGGCATCTGTACAGCATTCCCAACTTCGGGAGGTAGCTTTAGCAATGTTGTGGATGTGTGGCTTCCATGACATATTAGAGGAAATGGTGAGGCCTAACATATCTATTTTAGAATTTGACAGAATGATTGCAACCTGAAATGTGATTGGTGGGAGATCATCTAATTTGGAAAGTGTAATTGGTAAATACTGAGTTTTATTACAATTGAATTTAACCAAGTTTCTACCTCCCCATTCGGAGATGCTGCACAGATCTGCATTGATAGATGAAATGATATCGGCTCTAGAAACAGATCTACTTTGAGAATTAGGGGGAAGGGAAAAATGTGAAGAAGAGTGAAGAGTAGAATCATCCCTGTAAGAATGGATAGGATTAGTCGTGAAGTAAATCATTGATAAAAAGAAGGAAGAGAGTAGGTGAAAGAACAGAACCCTTTGGGACACCACTATTGGTAGAGAAAGAGCAAGAGATCGATCCCTTGACAACAACTGCCATGGATCGCTTCTCAAGGAAGCTAGAAATTAGAGAACAAAGTGGAGGAGAGAAACCATAAGCAAAGACTTGTGCCTTACCCTGTCAAATGCTTTGGAGATGTTGAGGGCCACGGCAAAAGTTTTCCCATAATCCCTAAGAGAGGCTGACGAAAGATGGGTGTAGTAGGGGAGCAGATCACCAGTACATCTCGCCTGGCGAAAGCCATATAGGTGTAATCCGACAAAAGAGAAAAGCTTTTAAGGTGACAGAGAAAATGTGAGTTTAAGATAGTTTCGAAAATCTTAGAGGGGGGTGAAGTTAGGGCAATGGGGCGATACTTAGAGGGATTAAAAGACCACCTTTCTTCTGGATGGGCTGAACCAAGGCATGCTTCCAAGAAGATGGATAAGTTTGGGTTTTGAGGCAAAGGCGAAAGATGCGAGCAAACACGGGCCAGAATTTCAGCACACTCTCTTAGAACATGAGGGGGTATTCCGTCCGGTCCATGTGCCTTACTCACATCCAACCTGGATAACACACCAGCAACCCTATGAGTAGAGATCATAGGAAAGTGCATAGGTTCAGTAGGAGGAGCAGGAGTAGGAGGGATAGAGTTGGAATTGTCTAAGGTGGAGTTAGGAGAATAAGGTACCAAAGAGATTGGCTTTATCCGAGGGAGAGTTGGCTATAGAAAAATCAGGTCAAAAGACAGATGGAAAAGAGGGAGTGCAGAAGTTATAACAGATGTTTTTGGTTAAGGACCAGAAGGATTTAATAGAAGAATAGTTCATCAGGACAGCGGTCTTTCTTTTTATAAAATTCTGCTTGGCTACAGGTGGAAAATTAACACAAAAGTTTTTTCCTAGATACTCCTTGCTGAAATGGCTGTGCATCTTATATGCTGTAAAATATGGTAATCTATAATGCCCTTTTCTCTTGGGAAGCTTCCTCGTGTGTGATTGGCTTCACAGAAGAACCTCATAGCCACCTAGTCACTATGCATATGTTTATTTTGCTCTTTGTCATGCTCCCAGTGGAGCTTTACTGGCATTAAAAGTTGGTTTTGTTGCCGCACTAGCCCCTTCACCACCTGTTGACTCGTAAAAATGAGAGCATTAAGACTTTTAGCCTTCTAAAGAATCACGTTATTGTTGATCGGAACATTTTTGCGGTGCTGGTCCTCAACCCAAATGTTCAGTGCCTTCTCAGTTTTCACTATGTTCTTGTCACGAACATCCTGCGCCACTTTAGCACTTGCAGGAGCATTCGCTTGAACACTATCACGAATGGCTTGTTCATTTTTCTTGATATACTACACTGGATTCGTTCACACCAAACAAACCCTATCAGCCATGGTAACACTCATCCCCTCCTTTAGCTTGTCTAATAATTCAACTTTCTTTGTCAAGGTCATGACTAACTTTTGTCTTTTAGGTTTCACTCCAATAACATCACTAGCACTGACACCCGGCAGTCTTTTAGGGGCCATTTTCACAAGGAAACACGAAAGTTCTGAGAGTACGTATGACGCTCGATGCTGTGTCACTGGTACTGGGTGAGCGTGAACAGAGGAAGATGAGATGCCACAGGCGCATGGGGTGACTCGTTGTGCTACGGGAAAAGGTTCGCAAGCTAGCCATCAGAGCCGACAGCTGCTTACCGTGAATCTTCGAAATTGCGAATCGCAAACCTGCGAATGGCAAGGGTCTACTGTACTTTACGATCACTGCTAAGACCCTTCATATCCAGCCCCTAGTCAGTGTGATGTACTGTACACTTATATCCCCATTAGCTGAAACAATTGGTGCAGAGCACTTCCAGGCATGAGAGTTTTCCGGCTAACCAGGGCCGGTATACACAAAACTTGTAAGTGCTAGCAAACAGTTGTTAAGGCTAACATTTTCCTGTTAAGCACTAATATTACATGCACAAAGCCTTAATAGTTAGAAGACCTGGGGAGCACTTTTAAGTCTCGTAATAGACGTCTGTTAGTTGATACCAAGGCGAACCAACAACATCTTCAGCGGCGGCAATGCATTTATC